TGGCAAACACTGGAGTTGACAGGAACAGTCACGATTCTTCTAGAAACTCATGACGTGTTACCAGAGTCACGTGACTTTTGTTGTAGTAACAATACTATGTAGTATTTGTTTAAATTATATTGAATGTATTTCCGACCATTATAATTGACAAATCCTTAATTGCACTTTTAAGGCCCTTTCATAAAACCTGTATGTAGATTGTTTTTTATGAAATTTGGGAAACTAAAATAATTTAGGTATTACATCCTAGATTTTATGGAATGTACAACAAAGTTTGATAAAAGTGAAATACTTTTCACCATGACATTTTCTTTATTGGTTTTAACATGTTTATACACTATGTTATCCGAAGGTCTTAGTGTTGTAATCTTACATAAAGATATAATTTTTATATATTGCCGCTTTATCTGCGGGAATTATCATCTATCTATTGTTGATGATCTATCTACTATGTATAAAATCTAAATATTAAACAATTTTGTAATCAAGACATGTATACAGTATATTGTTGGTGATCTATCTACTATGTATAAAATCTAAATATTCAACAATTCTTTACTCAGGACATGTATACAGTATATTGTTGTTAATAATGCACTTATTTAAGTATGTTATGTGTTTATGGATTATGTCTTGAGCTCTATTCCACCCTTGTAGTTATGTAGTTTCTGCCTTCCAATGGCACAGCGGTATGTCTGCAGACTTACAACGCTAGAAACCGGGTTTCTATACCCGTGGAGGGCAGAGCACAGATATTAATTGTTGTTGAAATGACATAGTACATTCCGGCACTTCTTTTCTCCTTGATATTCTGTGACGGATTTATTATTTTATATTTATTTTAATATCGACATTTGTTTAGACTAATTTTATATTTAGAAACATACTTAGCTTATACAGTTAAATATGTATTGCAAAATTCCCGCCTATTCTCAAAAGTTGTAGAAGATTCTCGAGAGTAAGAATCAACAATATATGTGTGTGTGTACGTAAACGCTTGTGTTAGCGTCATTATTGTTACGTAAAACTGTTGTTGTTTATTATTAAGCACAAAGCTACACAAAGGGCTATCTGTGCTCTGCCCACCACGGGTATCGAACCCCGGTTTTTAGCAGTATAAGTCCGCAGACATACCGCTGTGCCACTGGGGGACACGAAAAACTGACATTTCAGGAAAGCCTCCTCACGCCTTTAAATATAACCAACGCGACACGCCAAATAGTAGTATCTATTATTAGTTTGCTATAGTCAGTGTGTAATAAACTTCGGAAGCTATAACTGTGCTTGTTATAACTGTTATCAATCGGAAAACTTCATATATTTGACCAGGAGCATTTACAAAGTTCTAACGTTACAAATCATTTAACTTCAGTGGATTCTCATCGGACATTAATATTTTTACGAAAACATTATATAAATTCATCGTGGAAAACTCGGCCTGTGTGGCTGATGAATAACGAAGGACAAAGCTAGCTAGCTCCCTGTTAAGAGAATTATACCTACGCCAACTCGTAATTAACGTGCTCATCGTGAACCCTCGATAAGATATAAAAGTTCGGACTAGAAAGAATACTTTATATTGCTTGTAGGTTTGTGAAACTTTTGTTTATAGATCATTGTTTGTAATAACTATTTGTAATAACTGTTATTGTAAATTGTATTGTTGTGTGTATGTTAAAACCTATTTGCATTAAAAAAGAAAACTGTGTGTCAATCTTGTTAGAAAATATCATAAACTGACTATATATCGGCTTTTACTTAATAGCTAAATCCAAACTACAATTTAACTACTAAATTTAAAGTATCATTTAACTCAATTTCAGACTTTTTGAAGTTGCAATACGTAACAACTCTAGCATTGTTCACAAGTAAAAGTTATGTGATAGAAGCTTAAACATTCTAGAAACTTAGGTGCAGGATCTTTAGAGCAAAATATCACAAAAGTATCATCAACACACCTCCTATAGAGGATTGTTTTAAATTCAACTGGGCTGTTGTCAAGCTATGATTGCTCGTAGTGAAAGCAAAAAGCATTAACTAAGGTAGGGCCGAGGGATGACCCCTTAGCAATGTCATCTATATTTTGTGAAAAAAAACTATCATTGGATAAAAAGTGAGTGTTTGTGATAGAGAGTTCAAAGATTTGTTTAAAACATTGGTAGCTGCAAGTCATTTTGGAAAAATATTAGAAATGCACATGTTGATGTTTTAATTAACGCGAATGTTGGTGAAGTTACGTCAAAGCCGGTCATTAAAGTAATCTTCCTGGGCGTGAAGTGACGTGAACTCATTAACGAAATCAATGGGTCGTTTAACAGTAAAGTCGATGGTAGTAAGGAGACTAGAGATGTAGCTAGATGGTAGGAAAATGTTCTGACAGAAGTAAGCATAAGTCTAGTAGGCAAATGCAAATACATACTCCGGGATGGGAGTCAAGTGAATAAATTCTGTTCTGACAGAAGAAAGCATAAGTCTAGTAGGCAAATGCAAATACATACTCCGGGATGGGAGTCAAGTGAATAAATTTGATCGAAAGTTGTTTGGAAAATAGTATTTGATTTATTAAAATTTTCTAAATAACTAGAGCTTTTACTCTTCGTTGAAGGATAAGGCTAAAATGATCTGTGTTAAGTTGTTTACATTTGGTGTAGTCAGATAAAATAAGAGTTTATTTTGCTTATGGATTCCTTTTTATCCATAAGAAATCCATTACCTTTGTCAGAATAGGAAACAATATTGCCAACATTACTTCCAAGTTCCTTTAAAGCAGAAAATTTATGGGGGGAAAAGCAGATATAGGTTTGGAGAAGTTATTATTGCAGAATGTGGGTAGGGTTAAGTTGTTTAGTCTTGCGTTGATTAAACTTTTAAGAAATGGAAGCTCAAGGTTAGAAGCATTGTAGATAGTAAAATTATTGACCATCCTGTGAACTTGTTCAAAAGAGACAAAATAATCAGATTACAGTTTAATCAGAGGTAAGCAGAATTTACCAAGAGAAACAGAGCTCTAGTTAAAATTACTTTATCATGATCAAAATCAGTGAAGTACTGAGTTATCTTTGTCTGTTGTTCTGGGTGTTTCATATCGGGCAATTTTATTATTATCAGGTCACTATGAGAGAAAATAAGTGAACAAGTCCAGATAGGAGATTTTGTATGCTATTCCAGACGGCAAGAATCTATTCTATCGACGAAGACACGTGCATGGCAATATTTGAGCCCTAAGCTCCTGATCAAGTAGACGTTGTTAGCAGGAGAAGTAGATGGGGCTTCTCTGTAGATGACAGTTTTTGAGTTTCAATTGCAAAAACGTAGGAATAATTTTGCGGAGTTTACATTCTGTAGTAGTTAACATGTTTAAATTTGTAATCGGCTTTCTCACAAGCTCGTAATGATAGTGGAGCGGATATTAAAATATGTCTTAAACAATTGGTACCAACCAAAGATACCACTGTTTGTCGTCTTCAATAGAAGACATATAGGTATATTATTTTGATAACTTTGTTATATAATAGTAACGTTCATATTGAACTAATAATTTAGTCGACGCTTTATCTTCAAGATCTAGAACATCATTAACTCATGAAAACGTTATTTACAACTACATTCTGTATAACATCCAGAAAGTTGCATGTGTCATATCTGGTTTAATTGATATAATTCCTCATCAGTCAAATTACAGTGTTTTACCAACTTCTATACTAGAAAACAATTTCCGAAATTTGTGAAAAAAGATTAGTGTTATTTTTATTTAGACTCTTCCAGTCTTTAGGTTTGAATATTTGTAGTAAAAGCCAAGATATTTCCCCCCGAAGTTGTTTATTACGCATTACCTACAAACCTAATATCATATAATGATCGTAGATATCCGTACAATATTGTAAACTTTCATAATAAATTCGATACTGTTATAATCTCTTTGGCATAGATGAAAATGCTTAGTTGTATAACCCTTTTCCTTTTAAATTCGAGTTCATCTGTTTATTGATCGACCACACACTTTGCATTCCTTAAGATACAAACGTTTATTAAAAAGAGAGAGAGACAATTATTATCATTCACAACTTTATAATAAAGCATTGTAAGTCCAGAAAAATGTGCATTATGTATAAGAAAATCTGTTACCAACACTATATACACAACAGAACTCTAGCAATTACAGATTAAAACTTTGGCATTTAAGAATTCTGCTTTTTTCTACTTTATTTTCTCGTTGAAATTGGAAGCCAGAAATTTAGTTACGATGACTCTGGTTCAGGATTAACGTTATGGTTAGCATCTGAATGGTATACTGGGGTCTGTCCGCAAGGAATAGCTTGTTCGGGTGGTTCACAGGCTAGCGTAGCCTGGTTGAAAATTGTTTCTTCCCGGCAGTAAAAACTGTAGTGGACGTACTGAATGACCTTTTCCTGTCCCTGTTCTGCAATGTAAGGATTACAAATGTGATAAACTTTACAAGCTGCCTCTACGTCAACGTAGTAGCCGTATGTCTTGTTCTCACAAGAAAACTGGGTAGCCACTGGACTTAAGACAAGGTTGGTATTGTCAGAAAGAGGTACTGTTAGGATCATAGTCTCACCAGCCAAGAGAGTAGCTGTACTAAGAAACCAAAAAATCGCCACAGCTCGGGAAGCCATTTTGTAGGATAAGTTTTTCTAAAAAAAAAAAAAGAGAAGATTTGTAAACCATCCCTTGTGGCGATATATATTATATGTACTTTTAAAATAGCTCTCACAGGTAAATTTAAAACCCAGCTTGTAAATCTTTGAACGAAAGATGGTCGGATAAGTTCTAAGCTGTGAAACAAGGTTTTAGATGGCACAATGGACAACTTCAACACAATTATAACGTCAACATAAAACGAACTTGGCTAGTTCTGAAATAAAAACTGCTGTTAGAAACTTCCTAATTTAGTTTTCTCTCACGGGAAATTACAAATGGAAAACACAATTTTCCAAAGATAACGATTATTTGAAAAAGGTTGTAAAAATAATATGTTCATTCTAAAAGCCCTTTTAGTGTTGTACAGACTTTGTAGTCAGAAAACCGTTTTCAATATCATATATGTAGTGTAATTTGAAATTTATTCATTTAAGTCATTTTTGTATACATATGTTTCTTAAACTAAATAAATCAGTTTGTCTCCAAACTTTCAATGACATCATCTATGAAATAAATAAAATACGTGTTTCTGGGGGTTTCTTAAAAAGTGATATAAAGCGAATTTTGTTGGTCGTGAAACAGTGCAATATTCACGTACTGATCGTAAAAATATATCTTAAGAGAATAAAAGTGTCTGTGTTAATAGAAAATTTATAACGCTTCAATATCAGAAGTAATAAACATAGCGTTCTTTAAAAATAAAACATCGTGTTTTTATTTCAGGGACAGAATATTTCAGAAGGTTGTTAAGATACGACTTCTATAAAATTATTTTTACTTCACTATTTTGTTTGCAATCTTCAAATTCAATTAATTTGAGAGCCAATGACTATCATAACTGCACAATTTCAAGAACCGTAAAAGATTTGATTTTATTGTTTGAATTTCATATATTCACACTGAATCACAAATAATACTATCATAATCTGCGCACTAAACAGAATTAGTAAAACAAAATTTAATGGGCATATTTAATGATTCCTTATGTTTCGTTTCACAAACTCAGTTAACATTCACGAAAGCTGTTTACGTTTACGGCTAACTTAACTATATTAACGTGTCTTACCTCAAACACGAATTTCCGAGAGAGTTCCAGGCCAATAGTTTTGTTACAGTTCTCCCCTGACTGTTAAATACCAATGACGATATAGGTCACTTGAGCGTTCGGCTGGTCTTTGCAGCTACTCTTCTCTTTATGATTGGTTAAACTATTTTTTCTGGTATTCGAAAAGGAATCTGTAACACTCTGATACAAGTAGGCTACTGATCACAATGCCTAACCTTCGGTCAGTGTTCTACATAACTAGAGGTCAAGGATTGCCATCACATCCGGGTGACACAAAAACGCCTATTATCATTTTGAAAGTCATGTCAGCACAAAAATCTAAATAAAATTGTTGAACTTATACAAAAGCAAAAATTTGTCGACAGATAATATTTAAAATCAATATTACTCAACCATTCAATTCTTAATTTTCAAGAGAAAGATTTATTTAATCAAATAATTTGGAAGTTATAGTAGTCTTTCGATAATGAAAGAACCTCTCTGTGTATACATTCTTTAGGATATGCTTTGAACAGGTTTGTTGCAATTACAAGACATCTACTTGATTTCGGAAAGTTACCTGATTTTTGTCATTTCTTTAAGAAATGTTCTATGGACTTATAATACTAAAATCCCGCGTTTAATTCCCGCTGGGACACAGCAGATTGGCCACTATAGCTTTGTTCTAAAACAAAATTTAAGGAAATTATTAAATGAATCTACTAGTCGCAAAACAATTAATGTAAGTAAAATATTCAATATAATTATATAAATTTCATCATGGAAATTTCATGTTTCCAGTAAATCTTATGGACTAAACGTTAGACCAAAGACCCTAAGGTTTAGACACAGCCATCCCTAATTTAGAATTAATGGCCAAAGGGAGAGCAGCCATTCAACAACACTCGTCGCTTATTATGTTGCTAATCTACCATACTTATAACGTCGCTTATTATGTTGCTAATATACCACATTTATAACGTCGCTTATTATGTTGCTAATATACCACACTTATAACGTCGCTTATTATGTTGTTAATCTATCACACTTATAACGTCGCTTATTATGTTGTTAATCTATCACACTTATAACATCGCTTATTATGTTGTTAATATACCACACTTATAACGTCGCTTATTATGTTGCTAATATACCACATTTATAACGTCGCTTATTATGTTGCTAATATACCACACTTATAACGTCGCTTATTATGTTGTTAATCTATCACACTTATAACGTCGCTTATTATGTTGTTAATCTATCACACTTATAACATCGCTTATTATGTTGTTAATCTACCACACTTATAACGTCGCTTATTATGCTGTTAATCTACCATACTTATAATGTCGCTTATTATGTTGCTAATATACCACATTTATAACGTCGCTTATTATGTTGTTAATATACCACACTTATAACGTCGCTTATTATGTTGCTAATCTACCACACTTATAACATCGCTTATTATGTTGTTAATCTATCACACTTATAACGTCGCTTATTATGTTGTTAATATACCACACTTATAACGTCGCTTATTATGTTGCTAATCTACCACACTTATAACGTCGCTTATTATGCTGTTAATATACCATACTTATAATGTCGCTTATTATGTTGCTAATATACCACATTTATAACGTCGCTTATTATGTTGTTAATATACCACACTTATAACGTCGCTTATTATGCTGTTAATCTACCACGCTTATAACGTCGCTTATTATGCTGTTAATATACCATACTTATAATGTCGCTTATTATGTTGTTAATCTACCACACTTATAACGTCGCTTATTATGTTGCTAATCTACCACACTTATAACATCGCTTATTATGTTGTTAATCTACCACACTTATAACGTCGCTTATTATGTTGTTAATATACCACACTTATAACGTCGCTTATTATGTTGTTAATCTACCATACTTATAACGTCGCTTATTATGTTGTTAATCTACCACACTTATAACGTCGCTTATTATGTTGCTAATCTTACCACGGTTATAACGTCGCTTATTATGTTGTTAATCTACCATACTTATAACATCGCTTATTATGTTGTTAATCTACCACACTTATAACGTCGCTTATTATGTTGTTAATCTACCATACTTATAACATCGCTTATTATGTTGTTAATCTACCACAATTATAACGTCGCTTATTATGTTGCTAATCTTACCACGGTTATAACGTCGCCTATTATGTTGTTAATCTACCATACTTATAACATCGCTTATTATGTTGTTAATCTACCATACTTATAACATCGCTTATTATGTTGTTAATCTACCACACTTATAACGTCGCTTATTATGTTGTTAATCTACCATACTTATAACGTCGCTTATTATGTTGTTAATCTACCACACTTATAACGTCGCTTATTATGTTGCTAATCTTACCACGG